GACAAGTTGCTATCCTTTTGTTCTTCAGTCTAGTTGTGGAGGACGTTGCTTCACTGGCCCAAGTTGGCACCATCATTGCGCTCTTCCTGGGCGAGATCTGCCAGCTTCTGGACGGCTGCTCATAGCGGCTGCTGGCCGCTCATGCTGGCTGCTGACCGCTCATGCTGGCTGCTGGCTACGCACGGTAGCTCATGGCAACCCACTGCAGCAGGGGCTGCAGTCCACGCCGTTGCACGCTGTTGCCCGCGACTCACGGCAGCCCAGCTCCAGGTTGAGCTGTTGTTCAGCATCTTAGCTGTGAGGGCAGTGTCACTGGCCCTCATATGTGGGATCCGAACTGGGGCCCTCTGGTGTCCCAAGCCAGTTCTTAACCACTGCGCCACTTGGCCGCCCCCCTGCCTCCCCCCCCACAGTTTCTTAATGTAGTCATCTACCGATGAGCATTTCAGTTGTTTCCAAGTCTTGGCTATTGTAAATAGCGCAGCAATAAACATAGTAGTGCATATATTTTTTTGAATTAGCATCTTGGGTTTCTCTGGATAGATACCTAAGAGTGGAATTGCTGGGTCATAAGTTCCATTTCCAGTTTTTTGAGATACCTCCATACTGATTTCCATTGTGGCTGCGCCAATCTGGAGCCCCACCAACAGTGCACCAGGGTTCCCTTTTCTCCACAACCTCGCCAGTACTTTTTGTTTGTTGATTTATTGATGATAGCCATTCTGACCGGAGTGAGGTGGTATCTCATTGTGGTTTTTATTTGCATTTCTCTAATGATGAGTGAGGTTGAAGATTTCTTCATATGTCTGTTGGCCATCTGTATGTCCTCTTTAGAGAAATGCTTCTTCATATCCTCTGCCCATTTCTTAATTGGGTTGTTTTTTTGGTGTTGAATGAGTGTTTTACAAATTTTGGATATTAACCCCTTATCAGATATATTGTTGGCAAATATCTTCTCCCATTCACTAGGCTGCCTTTTTGTTTTATTGATGATTTCCTTTGTTGTGAAAAAACTTTTAAGTTTGATGTAATATCATGTTTATTTTTTCTTTTATTTCCCTTACCCAAAGGGATATATCAGTAAAAATATTACTGAGGGTAATGTCTGCAAATTTACTCCCTATGTTTTCTTCTAGGAGTTTTATGGTTTCAGGTCTTACATTTAAGTCTTTAAACCATTTTGAATTTGTTCTCATATATGGTGTAAGTAGGTGGTCCATTTTAATTTTTTTGCACGTGTCAGTCCAATTTTCCCAGCACCATTTATTAAATAGACTATCTTTACTCCAATGTAAATTCTTACTTCCATTGTCATAGATTAAATGACCATATCTGGATGGGTTTATTTCTGGAGTCTCTATTCTGTTCCATTGGTCTATGTGTCTGTTTTTATGTACCATACTGTTTTGATTACTGTAGCCTTGTAGTATGATTTGATGTCGGGTAACGTGATACCTCCCACTTTGTTCTTATTTCTCAAGATTGCTGTGGCTATTCAGGGTCTTTTATGGCTCCATATAAATTTTCGGATTGTATGTTCTATTTCTGAGAAAAATGTCCTTGGTAGTTAGATAGGAATTGCTTTGAATCTATATATTACCTTAGGTAGTATTGACATTTTAACTATATTAATTCTTCCTATCTATGAACATGGTATGTATTTCCATTTATTTGTATCTTCTTTGATTTCTCTCTTCAGTGTCTTATAATTTTCTGAGTACAGATCTTTTACTTCTTTGGTTAAATTTATTCCTAGATATTTTATTGTTTTTGAAGCAATTGTAAAAGGTACTGATTTCCTGCTTTCTTCTTCTGATAGTTTATTGTTGGTGTATATAAATGCAACTGATTTCTGAATATTAATTTTGTATCCTGCTATCTTATTAAATTCATTTATCAGTTCTAATAGTTGTGGAGTCTTTGGGATTCTCTCTATATAGTATCACGTCATCTGCATATAATGACAATTTTACTTCCTCCTTTCCAATTTGGATGCTTTTTATTTCATTTTCTTGTCTGATTGCTGTGGCTAGAACTTCCAAAACTATGTTGAATAGAAGTGGTGAAAGTGAGCAGCTTTGTCTTGTTCCTGACCTTAAGGGGAAAGCCTTTAACCTTTTCCCCATTGAGAACGATGTTTGCTGAGGGCTTATCATATATGGCCTTTATTATGTTGAGAGATGATACCACTAGTCCCACTTTGCTAAGAGTTTTTATCGTAAGTGGCTGCTGGATTTTGTCAAATGCTTTTTTTGCATCTGTTGATATGCTCATATGATTTTTATTTTTCATTTTGTTAATGTGATGTATTACGTTAATTGACTTGCGGATATTGAACCAGGATATTGAACTAGGAATGAATCCCACTTGATCGTGGTGTATGATCTTTTTAATGTGATGCTGAATTCGGTTTGCTAGTATTTTGTTGAAGATTTTTGCATCTATGTTCATTAGAGATATCGGCCTGTAGCTTTCTTTTTTTGTAATACCTTTGTCTGATTTTGTGATCAGAGTAATAGTAGCCTCATAAAATGTGCTTGGAAGCCTTCCCTCCTTCTGTATTTTTTGGAATAGTTTGAGGAGTATAGGAATTAATTCTTTTTTGAATGTTTTGTAAAATTCACCTGTGAAGTCATCTGGCCCAGGACTTGTTTGTTGGAAGCCTGTTGATTATTGATTCAATTTCTTTGGTAGTAATCAGTCTGTTCAGAATTTCTGTTTCTTCTTGGTTCAGACTTGGTAGATTGTATGCTTCTAGAAATGTATTCATTTCTTTCAGATTATCAAATTTATTGGCATATAGTTGCTCGTAGTATTTTCTTACAATTTCCTGTATTTCTGTGGTATCTGTCATCACTTCTCTTTCATTTCTGATTTTATTAATTTGGGTGCTCTCTTTTTCTTGGTGAGTCTGGCTAAGGGTTTGTTGATTTTGTTTATTTTTTCAAAGAGCCAGCTCTTGGTTTCATTGATCTTTTGTATTTTTTTTTGGTTGGTTTTTTTTTTGGTCTCTATTTCATTTATTTCTGCTCTGGTCTTTATTATTTCCTTCTTTGTACTCCCTTTGGACTGTTTTGCTGTTCTTTTTCCAGTTCCTTTA